GGAGTTTAATAGAGGAAATACAAATCGGGGTTTTTTAAGTGCAAATGAATGTTTTATTTTTTCATTAAAAACAAGTGTCGGAACTAGCACAAAACTCAGTCGAGTAAAAGATAATAATGCTATTTATTACCATAATAATTACGGCCCGCAATTTGGGCATTCGGGAGCTCTGTATATACTATGTAACGAAAAAAAAGAAGCTTATTGCGCTTCCAGTTCTAGTTATGACTCTCTCAAATATGAAAAAGGGTATTTCACAATTGTCGATTATGAAGTATTTCATGTTGTTAAAAAAATCACTTAATATGACTGTAATAGAATATTTGTTTAATTCTAAATTTAACACTTATTCTACACTTTATGAATAAATCTGGGACCATATTATATATAGTCTGTTAGAATCCGCTGTTGTGACGTATTGTTTTTTTTTTGTGTGTGTAAGTCAATTTAGTAAAATATGAATAAAATTAGATACATTTAAATAATAACAAATTTGAAAAAAAATATCGAAATTTAACTATAATTTGAAATTGAAAATAATTTTAAATTACTCTTAAATCTGTTCATCTAAATCAGTTTTATAAGTACATAACGAGTCTAAAAATCCGACATCAACTTTTGAACCGACTATAAAATATCATAGGTTTTTAACTTTTGGTCTATGCTTGTTTAAGTCGCATTACGGTTACGTACAAGGCCTAAAGGTACGTTGTATTTAATTGGTAGATTAGATTGGTTATTTGATTATGTGTATTCTTTACATTAATAATATTTCGAATAAATCTTTATAATGAATGTCATTCGTAGATGGAAATAATCTATATTGTAAATTATTACATACTTGCTATCTATGAAAATAATATTAAATTTTATATTCCATTATTAATAAATTGTTTTGATGATTGTATAATTTTACATTGTAAATAATTTTACTTTCAGAAAATATGTAGCTGTTGGATTTTTTTTTACTTTGTTCTATTTATATCGTCAAAATAATTCTTATTATTCTAATTTCGAGATACTATGTGTATTTGTTTTTTATCTAATTTATTGTAATTTTTGCTCAAATAAATTCGGACTTTGTTATTTATTTACTAGCATTGAGTTGGGGTAATACTGTAATTGGTGAGTCTGTTGCTACGTCGCGATCGCCGATCGTGTAATGTAGAATAGAGGCGTGGACTAGGTAAGTGAAGGTGTCAGATATTGAACTGAGTTCATTTAAAAGGGGTCTTTATTCGTTATTCTTTTCTCTAGTATATTTCTCTCTGTTTTTATACATATAGAAAAATCCCAAAAATTCCTCAAGCCCCAATTAAATCTTAATTTGGCAAGGACATTATATGCCAGTAGTACTTTATTTTTCCACCACTTCTACAATGTATACAGAAATTAAAAAATTTAATATATAATAAAAAATTTAATATTATATTCACTTTACAATAGATTAAACTTTTATATATTATTAGTTATATTAAAAAATTAATGCTTATTAATTAGTTTATAAAATTAAATGAATATTGTTAGACTATAAAACTGTTTAATAATATTATAAATTATCAAAAACATTATTCAATAATTATTTTTAAATTTTTTAAAAATTACTTTATTAGACTTTATTTGTAAATAATTTTTTATTATAAAAACTTATTAAAAAACATTTTATATTCATAATATTGTGATGCTAATTGATAAGTCTGTTACTGTACTGTATCACAATTGCTAATTATGCAATGTCAAAAAAAATGAAATTTTGATATAAGATAAGTAAATAAATATATAATATTTTTGATTTAAAATTTTAGTATTATTTAATTTATTTATATATTATATACATACAGTATATTACATTGTAGAAAGTAAATTAAAATAATAAATTAATTTTTCTCCAAGGTTTTGAATAAAAAAGTATTGAACAGATTATTCAAATATTCTAATCAACTCTAAAAAATATATGTTCTAAATAACAACTGCAAGAATTTAAATTAGATTAAATAGTTTATAAGTTAATAATAACATTTTTATCTTCTAAAGGTTTTATTTAGTGTATGGATTTACCTTTAGAATAATCAAATCATATATTGGATTTGAAAACAGATTAACTAAAAAAGACCTTGTAGTTATATAAATTGTATTATCAATATTAAAGCATAATAATAATAAAAGAATTTTAAAAAATTGTATATCTCTAATAGATGCTATAATAATATAATTATAATTATATAAATAATACAATAAAGATAAAAATATAATTATTATAGATTATACCTGTGGGTCTATAGTGTAGTGGTTAACACTCCACAGGTCAGATCACAAGATACCAGTTCAACTCCAGATGAAGGTGGTTGAACCAAATTAAGAATAGTATCTGGGGCCATAACCTGTTAAGCCCTGTTTCCCATAGGAAGTTATTCGCACACTGATCCAGTAGAACGTTGGGATTGAAATCTCCAGAAAAGATGTCGTGACGTGACAATCGTCTGGTTGGTGTTACGATGATTGCCAGAAGTATGCCAATGGTAGTTGAGCAACATGATAAGCTAAGAGGCATGTGCTCATCTTCCTTAATCAAAACTCCCCTTGCGTTTGAGTATACAGACTGGGCTGTACCCCATCCTAATCAAACCCTAATCCGCTCCTTTTAATAGTGGTTAAAACCCTAGCCAGGATATCCCAATCCGGTGCAGAGCCTAATTGGTTTGAAAAATAACCAGCCACAGGTGGTAAGAAGGGTTACAGTTTCACAAAAAAGCCTCAGGCCGGTGAAAATGTGACCTGAGGCCAGGTGATAAAGTGAGGAGGCACTTGGACTAATCTCCTTAATCAAGTTACCTCTAAGATAAAGCTGAACCAATAGATTAGATAGTTTAAACTAGTGGTAGGATTTCTATACCCTATAGGTTCCCACCTAGTATCACAAAGAAAATCACTCAAGGTAATAGGTTCCTGGACACTAGATATAAGGTGGTATGTGGAGGATAATCTATATAGAGTATATAATGTATTGACTTGTAAGAGTTCTAACACTGCATATGTAATTGATATAAGGTACTTATCAATAAAAACACTGTGAATCCGTATTTACACCTTAAAAAAATAATAATAATAATAATAATTATTATTATTATTATAGATTATAAAAAAAAAAACTCTCACCCCAAAATAAAAAAAAAACTCTCTCCTAATCGCGTCCGTTTTGTTAAAAATTTTCCTTTTATGGTAATTTTAAGCAAGAAAAAAT